TTCCTCCTCCAGGCGTGCCAACCTTCTGTCACCACACCACACTGCCCGGTGAGGGACCCCACTGAGCTGTGACCCCCCCCACCCAGACCCCCAGACATCCCTGGGGACCACCCAGCAGTCTGGGCTCACTGGGAGGCACCAAGCAGCCCACTGGTGCCAAGCTGGGTGGGAGGATGGGGGTGCAGGTTGGGGACCCAGTGAGTGGGGGGGGCTCACCCCACAGCCCCCCACTGCCACAGGTACTGGTCCTGGAGCCCAGCAAGGTCCTGCAGCCAGCTCAGCTGGCACTGCACGGTGACATGGAGGAGCCCACCCTGACACTTGCCCTCGTCTGCCCCACGGAGGAGGTAGGAATGGGGTTGAGATGGGCTGGGGGGTCCCCAGTGACCCCCTCCTCACCTGCCCCTTCTCCTGCAGAAAGCAGCATCCAGCTGGACCTTTGCAGCCACGACCATCCGGGGTGTCAGGTGAGCGTGTCCCCTGTCCCCTGGCTGGCAGGACCGTGGATGCCCCCATGTGCCCACAGCCGCCCACCCCATGGGCAGCACCAGCCCCAGTGCTGATGGGGTGGGGGGGGTCCCCTCTCCCTCCAGCATCTGCAAGTGCGATGAACGCGGCTGCTTCCTCTACGTGGTGCAGGCGGAGGAGGATTTCCAGCTCTACTTCCCCTCCCAGGAGCATTGCCGGTGGTGAGTGGAGGGGTGGGGGACACAGGGACCCCCACATTACTGGTGGGGACATGGGGGACCCCCCGTCACTGCCCTGGTGAGCGGGGAGGGATGGGAACAGGCTGTTTCTTCCCTACCTTCATTTTTGGGGGGAAGGGGTGTCCTAAGGACCCAACCCTTGCAGCTGGGTCCTGCAAAGCCCTCCCTTGTGTCACTGGTGGGGGACAGACTGGGAGAGGGGACACCACCCCCTCTGTGCCAGGGGGTCAGAGGGTCCCCAGCACCCTCACCAGGGCTTAGGACCGTTGTCATCCCACCGACAGGTTCTGTGAGCAGATCCAGTCCCTCCTGGCCAAGCAGGTGGTGGGCACTGAGGAGATGCCCAACCCCATGCAGCCCATCCTGGAGGTGAGACGGGGACACAGGGTGACATGGGGTGACACAGAGCACTGGGTGGCACAGGCTGCCACCCCACATCTCTGCCCACAGTACAGCTACGAGTACTCAGAGGAGGGCGAGCGGGTGGTCCTGGGCAGGGGGACGTATGGGACCGTCTACGCCGGGCGCTGCCTCAGCAACCAAGTGCGCATCGCCATCAAGGAGATCCCGGAGAGGGACAGCCGGTGGGTGCCATGTTGGGGGGTTCTGGGGGACCCTGGGCAGCCCCTCACCCCCGTGTCCCACCATGCAGGTACTCGCAGCCCTTGCACGAGGAGATCGCCTTGCACAAGCGCCTGCGGCACAGGAACATCGTGCAGTATCTGGGCTCCATCAGCCAGGATGGCTTCATCAAGATCTTCATGGAGGAGGTGCCAGGAGGTGGGCAGCACTGGGGATGGCATTTGGGGGGTCAAAGTGGGACATGTGACCATATGTGTCACCTAAATAGGGGGTGCTGTCCCTCTCTGTGCCCCCTCCCCAGGGAGCCTCTCATCCCTGCTGCGCTCCAAGTGGGGACCCTTGAAGGACAACGAACCCACCATCGTCTTCTACACCCGGCAGATCCTCGACGGGCTCAGCTACCTCCACGATAACCACATTGTGCACCGTGACATCAAGGTGAGGGGTGGGGGGGCATCACCCATCCTGGGGCCATGAGGCCTGACCCCCCCCATCTTGGGGTGCACTGGGGATCTAGGAGCTGCACCTCCACACCCAAAGTCCCTGGAGGGATGCTCAACAGCCCTGCTTGAGCTCCAGGAGCTTTTTGTGGCTTGGTTTTATTTTGGGGTGCTCTTCTTGTGCCAGGGAGACAATGTCCTCATCAACACATACAGTGGGGTGCTGAAGATCTCTGACTTTGGTACCTCCAAGCGACTGGCGGGCATCAGCCCCAGCACCGAGACCTTCACGGGTAAGGGCAGCCTGGGGCTGGGGGTGGTGGGATGCTGAGGACCAGGTGATGATGGGGGTTTACATCCTCATACCCCACATGGGGAGAAGGAAAACCCACCCCAGAGGGAGTTTGGGTTGGGGATATGGACTCTTCTCGCTCCTCCTCATCCTCTCCCCAGGCACCCTGCAGTACATGGCCCCAGAAATCATCGACCAGGGGCCATGGGGCTATGGGAAACCAGCAGATATCTGGTCCTTGGGCTGCACCAATGGCCTCAGGCAAAGCCCCCTTCTGCGAGCTGGGCAGCCCCCAGGCTGCAATGTTCAAGGTACCCATGAGGTTGGGCAGAGGATGGGAAGGTTCCCCAGCCCTGAAATTGTCCCTCCTTGGGGTGGCTGCTCCCTTTGCAGTCCCCACCAGTGCCTCCCCTCCAGGTGGGCATGTTCAAGATGCACCCAGAGGTTCCTGAATCCATGTCAGATAAAGCCAAGAAGTTCATCCTACGCTGCTTCCAGGCTGACCCGGCCGAGCGGGCAACGGCCACCGCGCTGCGGCAGGACCCCTTCCTCACCGGTGCCAGGAGGGCCCGGAGCCGACCCCTGCCCACGACGGGGGGTGAGT